TTTATATTTTAATCTGTAGGATTTCAGAAATTCATGGATTGGAGTGGGTCAATGAAAGGCAGACATCCAACACAAATACAGGATTAAATAGTAAATGGACAAGTTGGTCATATCTGTTCAAAGGCTAATAATCAGAAAGGACTTCATTGTAAACATATAGGTTCAAAAGTTACAGTTTTCAGATTTTTTCATGTAATAAGTCTTAAGATTTCAAAATCTAATTTCTGTTCCTTGATGATACTTTAATAAGTCCTGTTTTATGTGGATTGAAGCACAATATGAAATATCCCACCTATAATCCTTATTTTTTTATTTATTTTTTTGTGTGTATGAATATTTCACTTTTGTATGTAATAGCTTATCAGTTTTTCTCTGTATGTATGTGTATGTATGTGTTTCCTCTAGACTGTAGAACTGCCAGCTTTCTAGGAACCAAGAGTCATTCATTAGATACAGGACTTACTAGGTCTCTAACAAATTAGAGATAGCAGAGTTGGGGATTCTGTTCAAGGCAGAGCTTTTGCCTGGATTTGCTGTGGACTGAAGATGTTTAGGATTGTTGGCTCCAGCTGCTATATACTGAGTGAACTTTCCAGGCATTGTCATACACAAACTACTGCCCTGCCTTCTCATTCCGTATGCTGGGTGTATAGGATTCTGCCCCCTTTCAGAGTCATTGGGAAATACAATGCCATTAGAGGCTATATGAATGAAAATAAATTTGCTTACACATAAACATCAAGTACAAAGACAAGTAATGGCATAGGCCTGTTAAGTCTAAAGATAGGTGAGTGTTGATGCAATGACTTCACTGGCACTGGGGTTTTGAGTGCATTCTTGATCATTCTCAGAACATTGTTTCTATTCTCAAGAGTCTTGAATGCCAGGCGTGGTGGCGTATGCCTTTAATCCCAGCACTCGGTAGGCAGAGGCAGGCGGATCTCTGTGAGTTCAAGGCCAGCCTGGTCTACATAGTGAGTTCCAGGACAGCTGGGGCTACAGGGAGACCCTGTCTCAAAAAGACCCCCCTCCCCCGCAAAAAAAAGAATCTTGAAAGTGGCTAGAGGTAAATATGATTAAAATTATGTATGAAGGCCGGGTGTGGTTGCACATGCGTTTAGTCCCAGCACTCGGTAGGCAGAGGCAGGCGGATCTCTGTGAGTTCAAGGCCAGCCTGGTCTACATAGTGAGTTCCAGGACAGCTGGGGCTACAGGGAGACCCTGTCTCAAAAAGACCCCCCTCCCCCGCAAAAAAAAGAATCTTGAAAGTGGCTAGAGAAATAGGAAGAGGGCAGGGAGGGGGCTGTGTTAACTCCTTTTAAGTGCTGTGTTCATATCTGTTACCTCTTAACTTCATGGAGAGTTGGTATCTTAGGTTGGCCTGTTACCTAAAAACAAAAACCACTGACTGGGTGGCTTAAACACCAGAAATTAATTTCTCACAGTTGTGAAGGCTACAAAGTATAAGATGAGTTACTAGCAAGGTGGGTTTCATTCTGAGGTCTCTTCCATGACTTGCTGGTGGCACCACATTGGGTGCTCATATAACCTCTTTTTGTGTGCATGTGGGAATAGAGCAAGCTCTCCAATGTCCTCTCTCAGAAGAACACTGATCTTGTTTGGTTAAACCCCACCTTCATTAACCTTTCATTAACCATAATTATCTCTTTATAGGCCTTGTCATCATGTAGTCACACCAGGGGTTATTCAGTACGAAAATTTTGAGAGGGAACACAGTTTACTTCACAGTCAGGAAGTATATAGCCTGCTGCCTCAAATAGGAAGGATGAAGAGGAGCATGGGTCCTGGGTAGCAGCATGGTGGTTAGGTATGGCCACAGACACTCCTGGCTGAGTTTCATAGGTTGATAATAAGGAGCTTGCAGTTGGCACTTTCTGTAGTGTTCACTGAAGGCAGCTAAAGAGTGACTCGTAGAAAATTATAAAGAGAAAACGATGGATATTTCAGAAATATTTTTGGTAAAATAGTTTATTTTTTTATTTTATGTGTATGAGTGTATTGCCTGCATGTAAGTGACTATACCGTGTCATGCAGTGCTGTGGAGGTCAGAAGAGGGCTTCGGATTCCCCTGGAACTGGAGTTAAGGATGGTTCGTAGCCGCCATGTGGGTGCTGGGAATCGAACCTGGGTCCTCTACAAGAGCAGTCAGTGCTCTTAACTGCTGAGCCATCTTTACAGCCCCAATAATTTCTTTCTTAAAGGCTATCCTAGCAAACTCGGAATTTTTTTCCTCTTTCGGAGAATAATAATCGTAGAGTATAAACTTAGCATTCTTTTTTTTTTTTTTTTGCTTTCTACCAATGTTTTCAACATTTATGTATATATTTTACGTGCATGTATGTATGTATGTGTGTGTGACCTGCCTGCTATGGTATGCATGTGGAGGTCAGAGCACAGCCTGCAGTAGTTGGTTCTTTACTTCCACTATGTGGGGTCCAGGGATTGAACTCAGGTAGTTGGACTTAGTGACAGGGCTTTTACCCACTGAGCTATCCTGATGGCCTCCTCACCACTTTCCAACAGATGTGCTTTCTTTGCTAGGGCAGAAATTGGTTGACTGTCAGAGTTCATAGTCAGGTTCAGGTCAGGCTTCCCAGTTAGTGCTGTATCTACTTATACTGTCCTTTAGAAGCCCTTATGGTTGGGCTGTTGAAGTGGAAGCTGTGAAATTGATCCAGTTTTGCTGGAAAGGTGGCCAGCCCAGTGTGAGTGAAGACTGTGAGAACATGCTCTGGTAGTGTCAGAACCATGGTATATTTCTCTGTGATTCTGTAGTCTGTACACAAAGTTGAGTATCTGATAATTGTATTCCGTTTTGGACATTTTCATTAGCCCAAGAAGATACTTCTTATTTCCTACCTGTGCAACTGTTCATATTAAAGAATTTTTTTGAGGGGGTTTCTTTTTGAAACAGAGTCTCCCTCTAGCCCCAGCTGGCTTGGAACTTGCTTTGTAGACCAGGTTGGCCTTGAATTCACAGAGATCCACCTGCCTCTGCCTCAGTGCTGGGACTAAAGGTGTGCGCTGCAACCAGCCTGGTAGAAAATGGAAATTTTATCCAGAAACTATACTGCAAACTAAAGTAAGCTAAATTTTTAGCAGAGAGATTCATAAAACTAAAATTTGTTCTTAAAATTATTATAGAGTTATGTTTATTGATAGCTGTGATTTTTTTATAGTAGTGAATCATTCATTTCAGCTCTCAAGAATGCTATCAAAAAATATTCTGAGACATGCTGTGGTCATGAAGTAATATCCTGTCATCTTTCCATTTTCTGTTGGTTGAAAGCAAATCACAGAAAAGTTTGAACCCAGGAAGGGGAAGATGTTGAAAACCACCTAGAGCCAGTCTGCCATGACCCATATGTTAGTGAATGTTTAAAATGCTCTTCTAATTCACCAGTCATTTCAGCCCCTGCCCCCCTTTTTTTAGCAGCCCTCACTAGTAGGCCAGTGTTTTATGTTTTACCAGTAATTAAAAAAGATCTGTGGAAATGGCATTTAGTTACTAATGATGGTAGAGCAGTGATCATTGTATGTGGGATTTCTTCGTGTTAGAGTAGTTCCTGCCGTAATCTATCTCATGAAAAGAATGACTAAGAAAATCTCTGTTATTGCCTAAATATACTTTACATTATAAAAGATGAGTTTTGGCCTCATCAGCACTGAGTGATATAGGCCTGGGATTGCTGGGCTCCTTGTGACTGTGAGAGTTAAGAATATCAAATACAGGGGATGAAAGTATTTGAACTGGAAAGCACGAATTTGAATGGGAGCTGCTGTTAGGACTTACTGATTTAAGGATCTTATTTGGAGCACTGCTTCATTAAGTTACTTAACGTATACTAATCTTTGAACTATATCTTGAATCTTGGGTATTATCAATATTAGTAGATTTGGCTATTTTGGAGGAGAGATCTTAGCATTCTAAAATGTTTGAGACTCTTGGAAGTTGCTATAGAAAACAATTTATACAAATTGGAGGAAACATTCCAGTGTACTCTAAGAAGAAAAATAAGTAAGCAAGCACATAGACATTTCTTTTTCGTATCATAAGGCTAGAGTTTGAAACAGTCTGATAATAATTGCAGTGATCTCTTCGTGTGTGTCACACTGTCTAGGTTGATGTAGTTTGTTCTTAGATGTTGGGGGGAAGGGAGAGGGTGGTGGAGAGAAGAAAGAAGACTTTGATCTCCATGTTAGAATTTTGGATGTGATATTTGATACAAAGTAAAATCTTTATTCCTCTGAGTGATTAACTCATTTTTCAGCCCATTGCTCTTCCTGTTGAGCAGGAGTGCAGTTTTGGTATAGTTTTGAATAAGACATCATAGATTTCCTCTTAGAGCCAACTGGCTCTCTATGTAACTATTCTCCAACTTCAGCGTGGTGTAAACAGAATAGTACAGTATGTTAAAGAACTTGTTCCCAAGCATTGCTAGAATCACCTGGGGATAATTGGAAACTGATCTCTGACTCCTCCCCTGGGTACTCTGATTTAATTTACTGTAGGATGATGATACCTGGACTTTGGAGTTTAAAACAGCAGCTCCAGGTTATTCTTGAGTGTTGTAAATTTTGGAAATGGCTTTACTAACTAAAGAGGAGGCTCTGAAATGACATGGATGAGATAGGGTAAGCACTTTCTAGTAACTAAGTTGTCAAATCTCTGGACTCTCATTTGATACTACGGCTTTATAAATCTGAAAAAGGATCTTCTCTTTGAAATCAAAACTAGCAGACAGTTATTAGCTTCATCAGCAAAGAGAAATTTGATTCTGTGAATGTCATTGAAACTGGGCCTCCTGGATACCTAAATCTTTGAAAACTGGGTGTGTACAAAGCCAAGGTGACATAAGCACTCCAAAATTGAGGTCAGGGAAAACAAATTTTCCCACATCTTACTCAGTGCTAGCTAAAGGAAAAAAAGTTAAAACCTATTTAAAATGTGGAAAAATTGCTTCCCAATATTTTAACAGAGAGAGACTGAGAACACACAGCATTGAGTCGTCAGGAAAACTGAAGATCTCCCCTGAACAACACTGGGATTTCACTGCAGAGGACTTGAAAGACCTTGGAGAAATTGGACGAGGAGCTTATGGTTCTGTCAACAAAATGGTCCACAAACCAAGTGGGCAAATAATGGCAGTTAAAGTAGGTGATGCCATGATTATTTTTGGTACTTTAATCCATTAGGTGAAACTTTATGGTGCAGCAACACCACTGTTGTGTTCTTACTTTTGTGGTAAATATAGGTGTTTAAAAAGACCGTGTCTTGATTTCCTTGAGGGTGTTTTGTGTAGAGGTTGTCTTATTGCTCTATGTTTTCTTTCTCTGGAAACATGAGTGTGTGAAGTGTGCATGTTCATTGCACTTTTGGCATGATACATTAACAGGTTTTAAACTTCTGGCCCCTTCACTGCCAAGGTGAGTTCAGGCTGGGCCGCTGCACTCCTGGGAGCAGGGCAGTGCTGCTCTGAGCCAGGCGGGAGCTGGAGGAAGAGGCAGTACACTGGGCTGGGCAAGGTGCGGGGCTAGGGCTAACAGCAGTCTTACTGAAGGTTTCCTGGAAACCACACACATGCTGTTGCCACTAACCTCAACCTTACTCGGTCCTGACCGGCTCGGCTTCTGTTGTTTTATTCCATCTCTACTCAGTACTGCCCTGTTCCCTGGTTTTACAGTTGTATGGAAATGCATACCTTGTGATAATACTGTCACATTGTGTCCTAATTGTGATTGTCATGCCATTTAATTTGTACATATCCCCCCTCCAAAAAAAAAAAAAAAAAAAAGCCAGAAATGGAGATTTGGCCATAGATCATACTTGTCAGCCTGTTGGTACCTGTATTGGACTGGTGTTGTCTGTCTGACTTACTGGATTTGCATAACTGTACTTTGTTTGTTCAGATGTTTAAAAAGTATTTTTAAGATATTTGAGGCACATCAACAATCTGGGGGCAATTTAAAAAATTTTTTAAAAAGTAAAAAGAAGTAACCACCCTCTGACTAAACTTAAGACCCCTTTGTGAACAAATAACATCTCAGTTCATGACAGTTGAGAGTGGCTTTCTTCCTGTTGATCTCTATTTTGAGTTCATCTGAGTGACTTGAGATGATAGTGGGAGTGGGTCTGTCTCACACTAATTTGAAATGCTTTCTATGTAGAGGTCTGTTGCAGAGAATCTACTGTAACGATCTTAGTCTCCAGTGCTGAGTGTTTCTCCTCATGCTGGGTCATGTCAAGGTAATGTTAAATGAGTGCTGGGGAAACATTTTATGATTCTCTCCAGTTTCATGTTTTTTATTATATTTTTAGAATGCAGAGAGAACTATATGCTTTTTTCTTAGGAAAAAATGTACATTCATTAAATTTTGCATACAGCCCACAGACCTCTAAAGATGTGCAGACTTCCTTTGCTCTTTAGTGTCTTTTAAGATAAAATATTGTGTCTCTTGGAATGGGAAATGATGTCTGTATTCTTAATTTGTGCTCCTGCAGTGTAAGGGGAGATTGTTGCTTTATTTAGATGCTTCTGATGACTGTTTTGATGCCCCTGTGCCCTTGCACTGTCCAGGTGTGACATGAGTTTCAGCTGACCATGCCTTAAGGGGAAGTGTCATGTATAGCTGTAGTTCAAAACTTCTGAAGTACGAGGGAAAGCATATTAAAAAATTTACAACTTTTTTTTTCCAGTTAGTGCTGTGTGTGCTTCAGCTATTGAGATCAGCATCATATAGTAATTTTAATAATATGGATAGATTTTAGCAATGGTTAAATGGCTTTAAAGGTAAAGAAAGCATTTCATTTTGATGTTTAAAATAACTTTTCTCCATGATTACTTAGACTGCATTTGGAGCTGAATAATGTTTTTTTTGAATTTTGAAGGAATTTAAGAGTAAAAATCAAGAACTATTGTCCAGTATTCATAATTTATTGGCAACTGTTGAGAGTACCATTCTCAATGCTAATATAAACCCCGACTTTCAAGAAATGCTCAGAGTCATTGTCACTGTCAGACGAATACTTCCTAGCTGAACTGTTTACTCCCTTACATAACTAAGCTCACACAGCAGGTTGGGATGGGAGAGGATGGCAGTGGGGTTTATCATTAGTTTCCATGTCTTCATGAATACTGGAAGAAAAAAATCTTTTATATCATTTTATCTTAATGTTTGATAGCAATTGATGACTGATACATGTTTCTACTGTGAATTTTCAAATGTATGTATTACTGATTTCTTCAGAGACATAGTCTTTGATCTTATAGGCATGCAAACCATACTGATAAGCATCTTTATGCAGAAGTAATATGTGGTTAAGGGGGAGTTAGTGTGGCATGTTAATATTTAAAGGAACAGTGACACATAGATTCATACAGTGAAGAACTTTCCATTGCTGTTTGTGAATTGAGAAGCAAACTTGAAGTAGCTCTGTACTAGCATTTTAATATGTATTTTGGAACTATGGAAGAATTGTTTTGTTAGACATTAAGTCTGCTCTACACATTATCTTTAAGATTTAATTACAGTGGGCATACCCAAGTGAACTATGGAATTTTCCTGATTATGTTTTTATTTTAGGATCACTCATTTTTACTTTTGAGAAAGCCTTTTTCCAGATTTATTTTGCTAGATGCAAGAAATGGTTGAAAGATGGCTTTTCAGTTACCTAAAATAATTATCTCAAGACTCAATCTGAACATCAGTTAAGATATAATAAGTAGGTTTAAGATTTATTAAAATGTATCTTTCAAATAGCCCAGTGAGTCTGTTAGGAGACAGATGTGAAAAATTTTAGCCTTTCAACTTTAATTGCACATAATGTGGGCAAAGGGATTTTGCTCTTTAGTGTGTGTGGTAATCCCCTTAGTCATTGTACCTTTGCTACAGTGGTGGAGCTGGAGAAGCAACTGTCAGTGTGGTCTCCTGAAGCCAAAAGGAGGGCAGCTATCAACTCTGTATATTCCTTCACTCTTGACTTCCATCAGTATCCTCTACAAATAATGTTTATTCAGTGCTCCTTTTAAACAAATTTAAATTAAAATACTGTAACATAGATGCATAAGAACAAAAAAATTACATAATAATGGTGTAACATGGTATATACATTGCAGTGTTTAAATCCAGTTAAGCATACGACTTTGCTCCAACATTTGTAAATCATTTCTTTTTGATAGAAACAAACTCCTGGTGTTTGAAATATACATCTCATTAACATTACCATGATAATCTCTGCAATAAAACAGCACACTGGAAGTTCTAACTATAGCAGTTACTGTTGATCAGCCTTTCCCCATAGCTCTCCCCTACTCTCCGCTGTTGTAATCAACACTGTACTCTCAACTTTTAAAAGATTTTAGATTCCACAAAAGAAATTGTAGTTTGCCTCTCTGTGTCTAGCTTAGTTCATTTAACATGATGATCCCCAGTTCCACCAGGCTTTCATACCAACAGGCTTCTTGTTTTGAATGCATAGCATTCCACATTGTGGATGTACTACATCCTTTGTATCCACTAGTCAGTTGGTGGGTACTTGTTATTTCCAGTTCATGGCTATTGTGAATAATAGCACTGAAGTGAACTTTGAGGTCAATGGCCTGTTTTGCTTGGAAGTGGGAAATCACTGAATGAAAAAAATGAAACATGAAGTTGCTGTCCTCTAAGAATAAAGTATGTTTCTATCCACAAGGGTTGATTATAGTGAGGTAAACCTTGGGATTTGGATCTTTGAAGAAGCAATTAGGATTAGGTTTCTTACCTAGGGTCAGAGAAATTCAGATCTGTGAGCAATATGCAGTAGCATTAAGACACAGACAATCAAAGTCAGATGACGAAGCAAGTCCTGGGAACAGAATGAGAATGAATATGTGAAGCATGGTATAGTAATTCAGACTCATGAGCTAAAATAGAGTGTAGTTGCCAACATGGATTGCTGACCACAGGAAGGAAGACTAAATTGTCTACATGGGTCTGTCTAAGGTAAATCCTCCCTGCTTAGAGTACAAACATTGTGATCACTGTGATGCTTGAGTCTTCTGCTTGGGAAATTACCTGGATTAATCAGAAAAACAGATCAGTTGTTTGAGGTTAGATGCTTAGGCCAGACTGTGAATGGTATGACATCATAATGTTAAGGCTTCAGGTGTATTTTCTTTTGATGATCTGCCTAACTTGTCTTGTTTCTTCCACCCTCAACTCTACTCCTTTACCTCTTCTCTTTTTTTGACTTAAGTGTTTTCAATCCTGGTCTGGCCACCTGATCTATTTGGATCAAGTATTTGGATTTTGACTTCAATGTTCTTGACCCAAGACCTAGATGCTTAGTGGGAGGGACAAAGTCTCTTGGGTAACAAAATCGGCAGCTCTACAGCTCAGCTCTTCTCTAGCATCTGCTGATAGGTAGGTATCCCCATGGTTCCAGTGGTACAGGAAGTATGGTGGTGTGTAACCTTTCCTGGAGACATGAACAAATAATTATTCATGCCAAATAGAGTACCAATGACAGACCAAAGAATTGATCCCACCCAGGTCTAGGTTGGGGAACCAGTGAGTTTATTGGAGTTACTTACAGAGGCCATTGGGGAGGAGTTAACTTACAAGAGCTGGGAGACTCTTGGGCAGTTGCATCACTGAAAAGCCCCACCCCAGCATGGGGGACACCTCAGAAAAGCTGCATTCCTGGAGTTCCCTGGACACTTTTTAGGCAGCTCAGCAGTTGTTACTCCTTGGGGGGTTCAGGGGGGCTTCTTGGATCAACTTCCTGGATCTTGTAAATTTCATTCATTTTCTGAGTCTAATGAAACTTCCTTTTTCTTCCAGGAAGGAATACTTCAATGTGAAAGAAATAGCTATACAACATTCTACCCCTTTTTCTGTCTCTTACTATCTTCCTGCTTACCTACGCCATGTTCCCTGAACCTGATGTAGATAGCTGATTTTTTTTATCTATCTATCTATCTATCTATCTATCTATCTATCTATCTATCTATCATCTGTCTGTCTGTCTATCATCTATCTATCTCTGATCATTGGGCTACTATTGCTATAGCAACATGTTCTTATTCTCCAGAGCTTGACTGATTATGAATTTTTTGCAGTAAACACTGTCTATTGCAAGAAAGATGTTTCTATCCAGTGACTTAGATTGAGGG